AGCAATACCCCAGTGCCCGTTGGACGTTGGCAGGGGGAGAGGCGGGGGAAGCCGGGGGGACGGGAGCGCCCCGCTGCAGGCGCGTGTTGGGAGCCCGTGGTCTGTCGTGTGGAGCATCCATGTTTAGTGTCCCGTTGCCAGTGCAGTCGTACCTGGTCGCTGTGAGTGTGTGTCTGTACGGACCCGGCGGAGGAAACACGGCTGGTGACTCGGTCTTCCAACAAATTAACAGTTTTGGCCACTGTGGCATGTAAAGATCCCAAGTGGCTTAAAAACGAGGAGCAAACAGCAGAAGAAGGATTTCTTTCATCTTCCCTGCAAAGGCAGTAAGTTGTCTTTCCGACGGAGTTTTGTAATTTCCTGTAAATAGTCCGTACGGGTTGATTGGCTTCGGGGAGAGGGTGCGTCTGGATTATCCTGACCAGCGACGTCACAGCCCCAGTCGCTATTACCAGGCCCAGCCGCAGGCTTGCTGCTGTTTTAGACAAGGTTTGTAGGAGCCTTCAACCCAGCCGTTTGATCCTACCCGGAGAAAAAGTGTTTGCCAGTGGTTCCTTTCGTATCTCTAGACGGTAGACGACCTCTGCTTGATTTGTGCTTTGGTTCCACTCCAGCTTCCTCAGTTCCCACGTTCAGTCTCGCCGTGGATACGTGACGGTGGCAGGATCGTCACGAAGAACAAGGCAACTCTTTCCACGGCGCGTTGTAAGACTTTGAAACACGTAACGGTGCTGTTGTTTCCCGAGTGAGGACAATGAGTTTATACGTATTTTGTTTTTTTAAGGCTAACGAAATCAGCTGACAAATTTCTTGACATTTTTTAGGCAGTTATTTACCAAGCCACAGGATAAGCATTTGCAGATTTTAATACAGAACAAGTAATCGGACAGGAAAAGCCATATCCCGCGTGGGGGATTACGGAAAGCCGGGCGGCTGCTCCGCGGCCACAGCTGGTGTGAGCCAGCGCAGGTCTGCTACCCCGAGGCCGTGACCGCGCACCCCTCGCGCCTGCGCCATACGCGTACACCAGTGTGTTCGGGCAAAAAGTCTCCGCTGGAGAAGAACAGAATTCGTACCCGAGGTTGATTTCTCCAGGATGGGGAGAGAGGACCCAGCAGCTGATAAAGGAGGGGCTGCAAATAAAAATTCAAACCTTGCTGAAGCTGACAGGTGCCGCTGCAGACGCCGGGCTCGGCACAGAGGGTGGGTCCGCGGGTCAGAGCTGTCATCGGAGCGGCAGGACGGCAAACGTAGCACAGCGGCTTCCAGATTTATTTACAGCACAGGCAGACTCATGAAGGCTAGGTGTACGGGCTGATCCGTACCGTACGAGACTCACTGATGTTTAGGGTGTTTGCAAAGACAAATACAGAGGAGAGAGCAGATGTTTGAGAGGAATTTTTAATTGGGAAAATATTAGATCTTAACCAGAAATGCGCTCTTTATTTAACTAACGGTCGTACCTTCAACGGGGAGGCAGAAGCACAGCAAGGTGTCACTTCAGAGAAATGCTGATAGCATGGGAGAACGCTTCGGCAAGGGGAAAATGATTTCTTTTGCTTTGCGTTCTGCAGGCGGGGCAGTTGTTTCCTCTCTTTTTTTTTAATATAGAGGGCTGAACCTTGCCGTGTGCTGAACTCTGGTCTTTATCCTGTGCTGAGGGTGATCCTTCAGACTCCCTGATGTGTCCCCACTTACTCCAGCAGGGCCAGAACTCCAACCTTGGGTCTTAAAAGGACTCTGTCCTTTGACATGAGACGCTTGCTTCAGCGCCCCGCAGGAGCAGGCCAGAGCGCTGAGAGCCTGTGAAGCAGGGGCCGATGCTGGGAAACGCTGAGTAGCGTTGCCCTGCCCGAAGGACGGGACATGAGGTATCAGTTAGATAACGGCGAGTAGCAGCGTGTCTTCAGCGATGGCGGGCACGGGCGGGAAATCTGTCAACAAAAAAGGGAGTTTGCCTCCTCCGATACGCCAGCAAAGCGTTCTCCCACAGATAGCAGCACTTAATGGTAGGAAACACCGGGGCTCGAGCTGGCAGGAGACGCCGCTTGGGTCTGTGCGCGGTTTCCAGAACGTGTTTTAGTAACTCCGGTATGGTGGTGACGTTTCCGGTACCGCAGGTATTTATAACGAAGCGTAGACAGCTAATAAAGCATCGAACATCGTTAACGTGGCGCCGTCTGTGCTGTTCGTCCCAGGACACAAGGGCTGGAAACCGACAGGGCCGGACAGCAGCTTGCTGAAGGCCTTTTTTTTTCTTTTTTCTGATTTTTTTAACCCATTTCCACGGGGCAGTTCCCCCCCGGGCTGAGCACAGCCCCCGCTCGCCCCATCCGTCCGTCCGTCCGACTCCCAGGGCCGTGGCCATCGGTCCCAGCACCACCAGCCCTCTCCGCGCGCTCGGCCTAGGCCTCGAGGC